GTCCGTCGGCGGCCGTCACTCATCGGCGGCATCGTCGTCGTCGGTCGTCCGTCGTTTGTCGTCGTCGTCGCTCTCGTCGTCATCGGTCGTCGGTTTTCATTCGTCCGTCGTCGGTCGTCGGTCGTCCGTCGGTCGCCCTGCTGTCGTCCGCCGTCGTCATCAATTGATCGTCGGTCGTCGTCATTGTCGTCGTCAACCGTCCGTCGACAACGTTGTCGTCGGTCGTTGGTCGTCCGTCGTCGTCTGCGCCGTCGTTGAAGTCGAAGTCGTCGTCATCGTCGGAAAGGTCGTCGGTTGTCGGCCGTCAGCGGTCGTCGTCGTCGCTCGTTCGTCGTCTTCGTTGTCGTCGTTGTTGTCGGTCGTCGTTCGTCGTCGAACTGTCAGTCGCCGGTCGTCGTCGTCGTCGTCGTCGGTGGTCCTCGTCGTCCGTCGTCCGTTGTCGTCGTGGTCGCCTTCGTCTTCGTCGTCCGTCGTCGTCGTCGTCGTCCTTGTCCTCGGTCGTCTGTCGTCATCGTCGTGTGTCGTCGTCGTCGTCGTCGACGTCGTCGTCGTCCGTCGTCGGTCGTCGTCGTCGTCGCTGTCGTCCGTCGTTGCTGGTCAGTCTTTCGTTGTCGTCCGTCGTCAGCATTCGAGCGTCATGGTCGTCGTCGTCGTCGTCAATCGTCCTCGTTCGTCGTCGTTGTCGTCGGTGTCGGTTGTCGTCGTCGTCGTCGTCATCGGTCGTCTGTCGTCTGTCGTCGTCGTCACCGTCGTTCGTCGTCGTCGTCGCTGTCGTCGTCGTCGCCGTCGTCGTCGGTCGTCCGTCGTCGTTGTGGTCGTCGTCGTCGTCGTCAAATTCGTCGACACCCTCGTCGAAATCGTCGTCGTCCGTCGTCGTCCATCGGTCATCGGCGTCGTCGGTCCCGTCGATCGTCGTCGTCGCTGTCGTCCGTCGTCGTCGTCGTCGTCGTCGCCCTCGTCATTCGTCGATCCTCGTCGGCGTCATCGTCGCCCGTCTCCGGTCTTCGAGCGTCGTGGTCTAGGACGAGAAGAATCTAGTGGCACAACGCGCTATTGATACATTCTGGGGATTCTGGGATTTCTAACAGCCTTCGCGCGGGGTACACGTTGCGTCGAGTATGTTCTACTTTGGCTGGTGCCAATGGTCGGTCACCCATTCGCAATCGAGTGGTCGCCCGTAAGGGGCGATTTAGCACTTTCTGATCCACCATTCTCGTTGCCGAACGCGGGGGGGACGGTGGCGCACCGTCCCATCGCCCGTCGCCGTCGGCGGATTTTCAAAGACCTGTCAAGGCAAATCACGCGCGACTCTGGTAAATTCCCTGGGGGTGAATTTGAAGAGCGTTTTTGAAAATATTCGGACTACTTTTTGAAAAATACCAGAATCGATTTTCCAAAAGTTCAGGGGTCGATTTTGACAAAAAATTCTGGATTTCAGAATTCTTCAGATGTCCTGAGCGGCCCTCAAAAGAGTTGTTTTGAAAACTGCCGGGCTCCTTTTTTGAAAAAAATCCGGAATCACTTGCGCCAACAAAAAAGGAAGCGTTCTCTGAATCATTCTACAATCCAGAAATAAGTTCCGGGCGGTCCGACGGGCGCGGCCGGCTGATTCACGCACCGCGCCACGCAAGCCGCGCGTTGCGCCTGCGAACAGCACTCGAAGGGGTCACCTCGAAAATAGCGCCATGGCAGCTGCGACTCGCGGACTCCCCAAGAGCAACACAACATGCAGCTTGGAATCTCCGAGGGCTCTCCAATGTGCGAAAAATGCACCGCGCACATCACGCAAAAGAACCTGCGCGACGGAATGCGCTCGACCATTCGTCCCTGGAGCCCGCGCGGAAGAAAAGGAAAACCTGGAAATCTTGAAAACTAGCAATATGAATACTTCATGCTCCTCTGATGGTCGTCGTCGTCCTCAGTCATCCGACGTTTGTCGTCGTCGTCGGTGTCGTCGGTCGTCGTCATCGTCGGTCGTCCGTCGTCGGTCGTCCGTCGGTCCTTCGTCGTCGTCTTCACCGTCGTTCGTCATCGTCGTCGTCACCCGCCGTCGTGGGTCGTCGGTTATCGTCGTCGTCGTCGAAATCGTGTTCGCCCGTCGTCGTCGACACTCGTCCGTCGGCGTTCGTCGGGTCATCGGTCGTCGTCGTCACCAGTCTCGTCCCGTCGGCATCGTCGCTATCGCCCGTCGTCGTCGACGCTGTTGCCGTCTTTGTCCTTCGTTCGTCGTCGACGTCATCGTCGTCGGTCTTCGATCGTCGTGATCTTCGTCGTCGTCAATCATCCGTTGTTCGTCGTCGTCTTTGTCATCGGTGACGTCAATCGTCTGTCCGTCGTTCGACGTCGTCCTTCGTTGTCGCCGTCGTCACCGTCGTCCGTCATCGTCGTCAACACAGTCGTCGTCGTTGTCATCCTTCGCCGACGGTCGCCTGTTGTCGTCGTCGTCGTCATCGTCGTCGTCGTGGGAGTCATTGCCACCCGACGTCGTCGAAGCCGTCGCCGTCCGTCGTCGCTCGTCGGTCGCTGGTCCCGTCGTTTGTCGTCCTCGCCTTCGTCCGTCGTCGTCGTCGTTACCGTCGTCGTCCATCGTTGAGCGTCGACGTCGTCGCCGTCCGACGTCGGTCTGCGATCGTCGTCGACCCCAGTCGTCCGTTTTTCGCCGTCGTCGTCAGTGTCGTCCGTCGCCGTCGTCGAAGAGCCGTCGTCGGTCGGCCTTCGTCGTCGTCGTCGTCCGTCGTCGTCGTCGTTCCCATCGTCGTCCGTCGTCGCTGTCGTCGGCGGTCGTCGGTCGTCGTCGTCATCGTCGTCGAAGTCGTCCGTCGTCGGCGTCGTCCGTCGTCATCGTCGGTCGTCGGTCGTCGTCGTCATCGGTCCCGTGTTTCGTCGTCGTCGTCGCTGTCGTCCGTCGTCGTCGGCGGCTTTGCGTCGTCGACGAAATCGTCGTCCGTCAGAAGTCCGTCGTTTGTCGTCGTTTGTCGTCGGTGTCGTCGGTCGTCATCGTCGTCGGTCGTCCGCCGTCGGTCGTCCGTCGGTCGTTGGTCGTCCTCCTTCGTCGTCGTCATCGTCGTCCCACGTCCGTCTTCTTCTTCACATCTGTAATGAGATGCTCACCGAAACCAAGTGACTTGAAAACATGAGCGAACTCTTATTCCGTAGCCCCAAGGGAGCCACACGGGAGCCCGCAAGAGCCCCCACGTCCGTCGTCGTCTTCGTCGTCGTCGTCATCGTCGTCCGTGGTTGCCGGTCGTCGACCGTCGGTCGTCGGCGTCGTCGTCATCATCGTCGTCGTCGGAGTCGTGGCCGTCCGACGACTTCATCGTCATCCGTCGACCGTTGACGGTCGTCGGTCGTCGTCGTCGACGGTTCCGTCATTGGTCGTCGTCGCTGCCGTCCGTCGGCGTCGTCGTCTTCCGTCTTTCGTCTTCGACGTCATCGTCGTCCGTCGTCGGTTCTCGATCGGCGTGGTCCCTGTCGTCGTCCGTCGTCTGTCGTTCGTCGTCATCGTTGGTCGTTGTCGTCAGTCGTCTGTCGTCCGTCGGTCGACTGTCGTCATCCTTGTTCAAAGTCCGTCATCATCGTCGTCCGTCGTCGTCGACCGTCGGTCGTCGTCGTCGTCATCGACGTCGTCGGAAACGTCGCCGTCCCTTGTCGTCGTCGTCGTCCGTCGTCGGACGTCGGTCGCCAGCGTCGTCGTCGTCGTCAACCTCGTTCGTCGTCGTCGCTGTCGTCTGGCCTCGTCGTCGTTGCCGTCGTCGTCAGTCGTTTGTCGTCGACGTCATCGTCGTCCGTCGTCGGTCTTCGAGCGTCGTGGTCCCTGTCGTCGTCCGTCGTCTGTCGTTCGTCGTCATCGTTGGTCGTTGTCGTCAGTCGTCTGTCGTCCGTCGGTCGACTGTCGTCATCCTTGTTCAAAGTCCGTCATCATCGTCGTCCGTCGTCGTCGACCGTCGGTCGTCGTCGTCGTCATCGACGTCGTCGGAAACGTCGCCGTCCCTTGTCGTCGTCGTCGTCCGTCGTCGGACGTCGGTCGCCAGCGTCGTCGTCGTCGTCAACCTCGTTCGTCGTCGTCGCTGTCGTCTGGCCTCGTCGTCGTTGCCGTCGTCGTCAGTCGTTTGTCGTCGACGTCATCGTCGTCCGTCGTCGGTCTTCGAGCGTCGTGGTCTTCGTCGTCGTCCGTCATCGTTGCTCGTCGACGTCGTTGGTGTCGTCGGTCGTCGTCGTCGTCGGTCGCCCGTCGTCGTCGTCCGTCGGTCGTTCGTCGTTGTGCATCGTCGCCGTCATCGTCGTCGCCGTCGTCGTCATCCGTCGTCGCCGTTGTCGGCAATTGTCAATCGTCGTCGTCATCGTCGTAGACGGAGTAGTCGAAAACCGTCGTCGTCGTCGTTGTTGAGGTCCGTGGCCGGTCGTCGGTCGTCGTCGTCGTCGGTCCCGTCGTTGGTCATCGTCGCTGTCGGTCGTCGTCGTCGTCGTCGTTGTGGTCGTTAACGTCGTCCATCGTCGGTCTTCGTCTTTCGTCGTCGTCGTCAGTCGTCCGTCCTTCGTCCTTGTCGTCGTCGGTCGTCGTCGTCTGTCGTCCGTCGTCACTCGTCCGTAGTTCGTTCGTCGTCCTCCGTCGTCAGTCGTCTGTCGTTCGTTCGACGTCTTCCTTCGTCGTCGTCGTCACCGTCGTCCGTCGTCGTCGTCACCGCCGTCGTCCGCCGTCGTCGTCGTCGGTGTCGTCATCCGTCGTCGTCGTCGGTCGTCGGCCGTGGGTCGTCCATTGTCGTCGTAGTCGATGTCGTCGTCGTCATCCGTCGTCATCCGTCGCCGTCCGTCGTCGGTCGTTGTCGTCGTCGGTCGTCGCCGTCGTCGGTGCCGTCGTCGTCCGTCGTCGGTCGTCGTCGTCGTCGTCGTCGTCGTCGTCCGTCGTCGGTCGTCTTCGGTCCCGTAAGTCGTCGTCGCCGCTGTCGTCCGTCGTCGCCGTCCGTCGTTGCCGTCGTCGTCCGTCGCCCCGGGGCGGCCGCGCACGTCCTCGCCGCCCTCCAGGCTGGCCACGCGGCTCTTGAAGCTGCTGTTGTCTCGGGGCCGCGCGCGCGGGCCCCGGGCCAGGCACCGGAGGGCGGGAAGGCCCCGTGGCGGAGCAAAACCTGCGGAGGAGCGGCCCCGGCCGGCCGCACGGCGGCTCCGCTCGGCTCTCGCTCCTCCGCCTCTGCCACCTCCTCGTCCTTCTCCTCCTCCTCCTCCTCCTCCTCCTCCTCCGCGTCCTCTTCCTCGTCCTCCTCCTCCTCCTTAGGGTGGAGGGCTCAGGGTGGAATCCATATGGGCCTTGGCACCTCGAGAATCAGTCCGTCTTGTGATTCACCTCTTGCAGAGCCAAGCCTCGAGAAGCCATCGAAACGGCATGTCGGATTTCACCATTTGCCCTCCACCCACAGAAAATGCTCAGGTGTCTGGCCTGCGAGAACGCCGCACGTGCACCGCACCGCGCTTCTGGCCTGCGATCGGGGGCGAGCCCAGGGGGGATGCGAGAGGGAGCGGGCCCTCTCTGAGGGCGGCGGGGCTCCCTGGAAGTCCTCACGCCCTCCGAAAAGGCCGTCCGTGGCTCCGGCGAGGGCCCGGAAACTCCCCCGGAAGGCGCGAGGGGTTCCTGGGAGCCCGGCCGACCCCTGCGAAGGCCCGAAGGGTTGGTTCGTCGGTTGGTCTCGGCGGCAGAAGACGAGGAGGAGGAGGAGGAGGAGGCGGAGGAAGGGGAGGAGGAGAAGGAGGAGGAGGAGGAGAGATCGCAGGAGGCGACCTCAGACACTTCCCCCGTTGGTGCGTCTCGGCGGCAGACGGGCGCCCGCGCGCCACACCCTGTTCGGACTTCCTGCGGGCCCCGCTCCAACGCGGTGCGGTGTACAAGTGCTCAGCGCGACCTCGGCGCGCGCCCCACCGGGTTCTGTCGGTGGCCACTTGGCCTTGTCGGTGCCCACATGCGCAGCCTACCCCACCATCCCACAAGTCTTATGGGGAAGGTGGGGCTCACTTCGCTCGGGAGCGCCGCGCCCCGTTCCAACGCGGAGCGCCGAAAGAAGATTAGGGAAACAAAAAGTGGCATAAACATAATTACCCCAGTGCGACCCTACCTAGAAGTTGGAGCCCCTAGGAAAGCAGCATTAGTTGCTATGTTATGATATGCCATGCTATGCTGCGCTACGCTATACTATGCTATGTCATGCTGCGCTGTGCTATGCTGGGCTGTGCTGTGCTGCGCTATGCTATGCTATGCTATGATATGCTGCGCTGTGCTATGGTATGCTGGGCCATGCTATGATATGCTGTGCTGCGCTATGCTATGCTACGAATTGCTATGCTATGCTGTGCTCTGCTATGCTAAAGCTCAGCGAAGCTAAGATGAAGGTAAGCTAAGCTAAGATAAACCTGAGCTAAGATGAAGCTAAACTAAGCTAGGATGACATAAGCTAAGCTAAGATGAGATAAGCAACGCTAAACTAAGGATACGTACCTGGGGGGACCGCGGGGCGGATACTGGGGGAACCGCCCGGGGCGAGCCGCACTGCCCGGCCTCTTTAAGCCAACAGAAAAAAGAACCCTTCTAGGCAGAGCCTAGGTAGGGAAACACTCGGAGGTCCACACGTGTCCACAACGGTTGATGTGTGCGAGTTGCTTCACGATGTGTCGCATCGAGTTGCTCAGCTCTGTGGGGCGTTGTGCTGCTATTGTGTTCATCAAGTGTTGCTTTGCATGCCAAATTGCCTGTGCACTTGCTATGCTTTTTACCAAGTTCGCCTCCGTAATTACGTATGTTCGTCTCTTTAGGTGAACTTTGCGCTGTGGACTGCGGCTTCATGTACCTCGCTTCGCATGTTGTGAGTTGATTTGACTTCGCGTTGGCCTGCTTACCGTATTGAACCACATCCTTTTCAACTTGGCTGCGCTGGGGCCACTCATCTGCGTAGATCAACATCAATGCCAGCATTGTCTGCACCGTACCGCTGCCAGTGTGGCTCCCTGGCCCATACCGATGACGTTGCTGCGGGTTCGAGCTGGCCTGCTCTACTGTACACCGCATCGCTCCAGCTCGCCCTCTTTTGCTTCGCACTCCCTGGCCGCTCGTCGATCTGCCCCGTTGACAACCTGGCCATCGCTCCGACGTCCATTCCCTGTGCTTTATTCGGTTTCGTGCGTGGTTGTTTCGCCAAATGATCAAGGATGCTCCTCGATGGTCCTCGCCGAAGGAAAAATGCACACGTCCGAGCGATGCCAAGCAACGAGCCACTCCTTCTCGAGAGACTCTGGGGCGGCCCTCCTGCGCGCATGCCTGCCCGGGCCTGCACGCGCTGCCCCATGTGCAACACTGGGCCCGCTCGGGCCGATCTTCCCCGGGGTGCTCTGCCCCTCACCTCCGCAACCTCCGCAACCCAATCGGGCCGGACGAATCACGGGAACGGCAGAGGGGGGTACAGCGATGCAGCCCACGCAGCTGGCTTTCCTGGCACCTCCCGGCGCCGATGCACCGAGGAAGGCGCCCGGCGGCGGGGTCGAAACCGGCTGCACGCAACAGACTTCGCCCCCCCCCCTCCTCCCGCCCCCTCCCAGGCCCCCCCATCCTCCGACCCGAAACGTCTTAGCCCCAGTCGGCCCACCGCAGCACTGCTGCCTGCCGACCCGAAATGGGGAGACCAAGAGGTACCGATGCCGCTACTCCCAGGACCTCTCCCGGGGTGCGTCCTGACCAGGATCTCGAGGCGAACCCAGCGGTGGCGACGAGGGCCCCCCAGGAGGCCCAGGAGGGGGAAAACGAGGTCAGGGCAGAGGTGTGGGCACCTCCTCTAGGAGGAAAACAAACCTACCTCGCTTTTGACCACCCTCGCTTCCAAGAGATACCAAACGATGCCAAATTGCAGCCTGTACTGGTCAGGCCGCTTGACGAGGAGGCGCGTGGTATGGCTTGGTTTTGCCTGGAAGCGAAAGCGGGGGAGGTAATTCACGCTCTGATCCTCCTCCCCCTCCGACCAAGCGCCCGAGCACTGCCGGCCGCTGCCTGCCCGTCCTGGCCTCACAAACGAGCGGCCCCGACCGCGTGCCGCCGCGCTGCGGCTCCACGGGCTGGGCGCCGCCGGCGCCGCGCACGGAGGAAAGGCCCCCTCGGGAGCACGCCCCCACCCCCCTTGGGGAGCAGGGGCCGACCATCCCGGCACTCTTGTAGACATACCACGAAATGCTCTTAGAACTCAAAAAGGTGCTCAGAACGAAAACACCTTTCTGAGAACATGTTCCCGATGGGTTGAAAAAAGCTAGTCCAGCCAGAAATGTCACAAAAGGCTCTTAGAACATTGTTCTCGGGAGCGGCCAAGAGGGGGGTGTCCAAGAGAGAGGGGTGCAGATCATGACCGGCGGCATGTGCGCGGCCCAGCGGGGGGGCCAGGGACGTCGTGAAATAAGAAGAGGCGCCATGAAATCTGGGGAAATATCATGGCCCCCGCCATGATATCCCCCCCCCCCTAGTCATCACCCCCCTCTTTGCCGCCCCCGATGGTTGGTGGGGCTACGGCGAGCCAGGACGCTTCGCTGCTGCTCGACTCTTCTCGCCATCGCTCGGACGTCCACTCCGCGTGAACTCCTCGATGTCGCGCGTGCATGTTTCGCAAGGTCATCCAGGATGCTCCTCGATGGTCCTCGCCGAAAAAAAAAAAATACGCGCCCGAGCGATGCCGAGTCGTCTTCGGCACCCCCGCGCCGCGGGCCCGCGGCGGAGCGCCCGCGCGGTGCCCACCGGCGGGGACCCGGGCCGCTGCAGTTAGGTCGAGCGTGTCCTCCTACAGGCGGAGTTCCGACGGAAGATAAACATAGTCACAAAATGCTCACAAAATGCTCCGAGTACTTCAAACATCCTCGCCAGATGGTCAAACATGGAAAACAATCGTCTCCATATCAGTTGCTTGATTATCTCTGAGTTTTCCTCCTGTGGAGAGACGGACCCGACGTAACGCTGCAGACCTGGGCCACCTGCCCGCCAATCGCCCGGCAAACCGCAGAACGGCGAGCCACAACGGGCCCGCAGAAACATCGCACCGCGGCCTCGCGCCGCCAGCGCGGCACGCTACAGTCGGACCTGGGCCAGGGGAGCACCCCTCAAGAGCATGAGACCCTCCGCCAGCCAAAGCACACAGGGCATCCGAGGGTACCCTTCCCAAGATGCACAGGCACATCCGAGGGAAGCACGAAGAACACCAGGGCACCCTCCCCGAACCGCACTCGATCCTCTGCCTCGGTCTGGCTGTACGGTAGAAATGGGAGCGCTCACGAACGACCTTGGAAAGGCAGCTCACGCGCCAACGTCGGTGAAGACGACCCCATGTTCTTCCGTGAGGTCGGGCATGTCCCCCGACAGGCGGATTTTGGACGAAAAATGAGAAATAATCAAACATACTTACCAAGAATGGTCAAAACATCGACCCCAGACTATTGTTTGACTATCTGTTAAAATTGTCCTTCTGTCGAGGGACAGGCCCGACTTAACCCCATGGTCTTCCGTCGCTCAGCAGGGATCCGGGGACCCGCACCTCCGGCGGAGGATGGGACGTCTCCTTCGAGGCCGTCGGCCCTCGCGAGGGGTCCACCGTGGGGACCTGGGCCACCATGAGGGGCAACGATAGGAGGGGACTGGCAGAAGGGGGGATGCATCGACCTGGAATCGGCGATACATCGCCCATAGATCGGCGATAGGCCTCCGATAGCGAATCCGCACCATCCTGGGCAGACTGGGGCTATCGGGCCCCTGTCGGCGATCAATGGACGATTGGGGGTCGATGCATCCCCCTATGCCTATCCCCCCCTATCTTTGTCCCTGACATCAAGAGCCTGTCTGGGGTGAAAAACTGCAAGGGTCGAGCACCCCAGTGGCCATGCACCTGGGGCGAACAAGGCGTCTAGAGGTCTCCTAGATGGGGTCCGAGTAAATGGGGTCTGAGGATGGCGCCGCATCGCAAACGCATCGGCGATGCATCGGCGATACATCGGCCGTGCATAGGCGACGCTGGCGATGCATCGGCACCATTGGCGCGGGGAAAGTCTAGCTCCACGTCGAGCCTCATCGTCGATGCATCAGCGATGCGGCGCGATCCTCCGACCCCATCTAAAATAGAGGCCACTCCCCAGGATGTCCGTGGATTTTCGGTGTGGGAACGTAACGCTTTCCACAGCAAAACCATCGAAATCGAAGAAACCCAACCGAAGGCGAGCAACATGTTTATCGGCATGGGTCACCACCGCACTCGGGCCCCATCCGGGGAAGCCTGGAGCGTCGGAGAGGGTATGCGGAAACCCTCGGGCTTCGCGCCGCCGGGGGAGGCCTCTGTTGATGCGCTGGAACTTGGGCTCCTGAGGGTTCTGGGCCAAGTTGTCCACGTAGAGGCGGACCGTCTCCAGGCACGAGACGAGGCCCGCCAAATTCGAGTCCTCCCGAGGAACAGCAGAGCCAAACCAAGAGGACGAGGAGGAGGAGGAGAAAGAGAAGGAAAAAGAGGTGGAGGAAGAGGAGGAGGAGGAGCGTCCAATAGCACGACGTTTTCCGTCGAACACAGCAGGGGAGAGTAGCATTCGAACGTCGAGGGGGCTCTTACGCCATGGCGGAAACAGCCAACGCGGCCAGAGCTGTAGTCGGTCTGGAAAACTGAGGACACGTGTCTTTCAGAAACCCTTGCCGTCATTAGAGGCCTCCTAAAAGGGGGTCGGATCGATCCGCATCGCCGATGCATCGGCGATGCGGCGCGATCCTCCGACCCCATCTGCTCCGAATCCACCAGGGAGGCATAGACTCATGGTGAACAACGTCCGTCTTTCTCGTGTTCTCTTCACGATTCACGACGCCGGGATGTCAGGGCCCCCTTCCTAAAATTCGCCCCCCCCCCGACCTCTCAGGAGCCGTGTTCCGACCAGACCAACGCTAATCTCAGCCACCCAAGGACACGTCGCGAACCAAGGCTGGCCACAAAGTAGCTCCCAAACCCAGGTCAGCCGAAGGACGGGGAAATGCGTCGGTACCCCAGGGCCGCTAAAACCCGAGCCAGCCAAAACAAAATGGCTGAACCCCACCACCTCTCATCCTCAATCCCCTTCCTTATGAATATTTCCACCTGTCGCACACCCAAACGTGTCAGTAGGGCGGACTGGGCACTTCGCCGGGGACCTCCCCACCAGACACGATCCTGAAACTTGAGATCTACAATCGCTTCACGGATAGAGGACAGGTCGTTTTCAAACTGTGGTTGTCGCCTTAGCACCGCCCACAGTTGTCTCAAACGGCCGCAACACTTTGACGGATGGCGTGCGGGCCGTTTTCAAACTGTGGTTTCCGCGTCAGCGCCGCCCACCTGTCTCAAATGTGCGCAACAGTTTCGCGTGCGGGGGAAGGGCCGTACTTGAAAGTATGGCCCTCGCCTCGGCGCCGCGCACACTTGTGGCTACAAGTTCGCAGCCACTTCACAAATGGATGGGTGGGCCGTTTTCACATTGTGGGGTTCGCCTTTGCGCCGCACGCATTCGTCCTAAAAGTGCGCAGCTGCTCCCAGGATTCGTATTGTTCGAGTCCGAAGAGCAGCATTCTCGCACGATCTAGAGCTGTCAGGACGCAGCAATCACGTCGATTCGCTCTGAAATTCAAAGCAACGCATGTTGGCACGATTGTTTTGCAACGGGGCACTTCTCGCAATGAAAACCAGCTCTTGTAAGGACCTGCGAAAAAAAAAGGGGGCTTCGAGGGAGGGTTTATTGCAACATCGTTGATGCGTTTTCGGATTACCCTGGTCCTCATCTTGGAGATGGTAAATTCACATTTTAATTTTGAAGGAGCTATTTGCTCAAGGAGACAAGCCTTTTGGAAAAGTGTTTCTGTTTTGTTGCGCGACAGCCGCGGCGGCCAGTCCGAATTGCCGAGCCACGTCCTCCGCTCGCGCCCTGAATCTTGTGTCGCAGAGCATCTACAACTCGCTGAACACATGTCCAAGGGTCGCCGCGACCCGATGTAACGCGACCCGAACTACTCGAGCAAATGCATCGCGGGGCGAACCGGCAGGAAAAACAGAGGGTCCCCGCCCCCCGACCAGGCCCTAACCCCGCATCACCACCGCACCCCCAGGGATTTATTGAGGCAGACCGCGGACTCTACTAAAGCGAAGAAGCGGCTTTACTAAAGCGAGGAAGCGGCTTCACTAAAGCGAGAAGCGGCTCTACTAAAGCGACGAGACGGCTTTAGCAAAGGCGCGCCGCTCGATACATTCCGAGAAAACGACGTTGTACTAGAGCGAAAAGAGAGCTTTAATAAAGCGGATAAGCGGCAAGGGCAAATTGCGCGCAGTCACTTCGCCCCCCCCATAAAATCTGGCCCGTGACTCCAGGAACGAGGGCGGGGCGCAAATTCGCCAGTGGGCTCGAACCCCGTCGCCGCCGTCGCCGCGATGCTCGTCGTCGCCGCCGTCGCCGTTGCCGCTGTAGTCACCACCGTCGGCGCAGGCGCCGCCGCCGTCGTCGTCGCCGTCGCCGTCGTCGTCGCCGCGACGCCCTCGCATTCACATTATTACCAGCGGCGGGTCGCGCGCGACCGCGCGCGCCCCTGCGCTCGCATCTCTGCTCGTCCGACGGGGGCCCAGGCGGACATTATTTTTTTGGTGTTCGCAACCCGTTTAAAGTAATAGTGGGGAAAAACCTCTGATCATCCTCCTCATCCTCCTTTACAACGATCGCAATCCAGTGTTCCAACAGCCCGGCGTCATATAGCGCAAGCCTGTTGGTCGGCACGGCAAGGCGCAACGATACCGTGGGGTACCCAGGGGTACAGAAGCTGCCGGCGGCCGCCTCCTCATCTGCTCCCTCCTCGTCGAGTCCTCCTCCCCTCCCAAGCTGTTGGGCAGGGACCGACCGTCCCGGCATTCCTATAGGCCTACCACGAAATATTCTTAGAACCTCAAAATGCTCTCAGAACAAAAGCACTTTCCTTGGAACATAAGCCCGACGTGTTAATACCAGACAGTCCCAGCCAGAAGTGGTCTGAGAACATTTCGTGCAAACCACAAAAAAGGTGCTCAGAACATCCTCTGGTGGGCCTATAAAAGCGAGCCAAGACGCTTTGCCATTGCTTGAGGCTGGTGCGCGGCTTACGACGAGCGAGATGGCCCCCTTCCCCTCCCGGCTCCTTGTGCTGCCTCCTCAGCGCCACACAGGCCTGCACGACGGCATGCACGGCCTCGCGCGCCCCGGGGGGGCGCGCCGGCGCCCGCGCCGCCGCCGCCCTCCTGCCGTCCCCTCCCTGCCGTCCCTGCATCCCTCGCCCTCCCTGTCCCCTCCCCCTCCTCGCACCCACCCGCTCACACACTCAGTCGCTCACTCGCCCTTCTCTTCCTCGGCAGCCAAGTTCGGATCGGTCCCTCGGGCAGAGAAGGGATACCGCTGACCCGCGGCTGGCCTCGGTCACTTCAAGGGCACTCGATCCTGCTGCCAATCTCGCGGCAGTCCAGGTCCCTTCCCTCACAATTGCATCTCGTCCTGTATGCACCCGACTGCGTCGCAGCGATGGTGCTCGCACCATGGGCGAACAAGTCAGAGAAGCAGGATAGAGAAGAAAGAGAAAGGGAAGAAGGAGACAGGAGGAGGAGGGCAGAGGGAGGAAGAGGAAGAGGAGGGAGGTCTCCGATCTCCCCCTCCTCCCTCTCTGTCGCCCTCCCCCGCCCCCTCCCACCCCCGTCCCTGGGACCCCCCTCTCTGATGGCCTGGCTGAGCGTGTCCTGCCCTCCCAGACGCCCCTGTCCTCTCCGACGCGGCGAGGAGGGTGAGGGGCAGCGATCGGAGGGGACTGGCAGAAGGGGGGATGCATCGACCTGGAATCGGCGATTCATCGCCGATAGATCGGCGATGGGCCCCCAATAGTGAGCCAGCACCCTCCTGTGAAGGTTGGAGCTGTCGGGCGCCTATCGGTCATCAATGGGCGATTGGGGGTCGATGCATCCCCCCCTATGCCCATTCCCCCCTAGAGGAGGCCCCCTAGAGGAGGGCGATGAGGGGGGTCAGCGGGCGCCGCCTTCGGCGCCGCTGCGCTGGAGCTGGCTCCGCCGTCCTGCAATGGCGCCACGCAGGATCGGGGAGGGGGGGAGGGGGGGCAGCCGTCGCTGTCTGGGGAGAGGGAGGGCTGGGCAGGAGAAGGTCGGGCATGTCCCCCTACAGGCGGACTTTGGACGAAAAGAAAAGCAAATGGTCGAAAACTGCTCAAACATGCTCGAGACGTGATCGAAACAACGTCCCCTGGCAATCTTTCTGCTACTGTCTTTGAACTTTCCTCCTGCAGAGGCACATGCCCGACGTAAGGGCAGGATCGGGTCCGCTCGGCTCGGCGGGCGCGTCTATCGAGGCGCGCTCGCCAGCTGTGGACTCCCCGGGGGAGCCCTACGCCTCGAGACGTCTCGAAAGAGTGGATATGGCCGAAGCCGGACGGCCGCCCTGCCCGGCGGCCAGCAGACCGCCGCTGCCTCACCCCAGCAGGGGGTCCCGCCCTGCGCGTTTTCCGAGATGGGACCTCTTTGGGGAGCAAAGGGCGCGCGGAACGTGCATGCCTGTCTGGGGGTGCAACTGCCGTGGCCGAACGTTCGACGAACGGCAGGTTCGAGGAGCGTCACGTTCGACGGCTGGTGCAGTTGGGATTCGTTTCGAGATCGGTCCTCAATTCCCCCTGACCCATTTGGATGCTAATTCCGGAGACACCCCTCATGAGCGACCTGTTTTCAACCGCCACCACCATAAGTTGGAGGGGGAGACGGTCCTCCTCCTCCACCTCCTCCTCCTCCTCATCCTCCACTTCCTTCCCCCCTCCAACTTATGGTGGTGGTGGTGGTGGTGGTGGTGGTGGTGGTGGTGGTGGTGGTGGTGGAAAACAGGCCCATCACCTTAAGCTAATCAGCCTCGAACTTATTCCTATCCCTCAGATTGACACGCCCAAAGGCGATGACAATCTCAGGGATGCACCCTCTGAAACTGAGGGAATCCCTAAGATCGCCATCGTGATTAGGCGATGCCCAACATAAGGATAGGTGCCGGGAGCTGCCCTTCAGCCTGGCCGCCCCGGCTGGATCGCCGCAGCCCTGCTGCGCGAGTGTCCCCCGCGCCTGGTCCCCCCTTCCGCGGCCGCCTCCCTTGCCTCCCCCCTCCCTCCTGCACTCTTAGGCCTCCTAGATGGGGTCGCCTCCCAATCCCTATCCCTAAAATCGACATCGGGATAGGTTCCAGGCTGGTAATGAGCGTCCGCCGCTTGGGGTGCCGTCTCCGATCCGGTGCGCGCATCGCTCACCCGCCCCACTCGCTGCGGCGACCAGGTCCCTGCACTCCGAGCAGTCACCCGGCCACGAGGAGCCTCCTCGTCCTCATCCTCCTACCTCTCCCCCACTGCCTCAATGGGCCCTGGAAACGACAGTGCCGTTTTTGTTACCGGTTCCGTTTTGCCGTTTTTGTTGCCGGTTCCGACGCCGTTTATTTACCCGTTCCGTCGCCGTTCTTTTACGGGTTCCCGCTCTGGTTCCAATCCTGGAGCCGTTTTTGTTGCTGTTTCCGCTCGCCGTTTTTTGGCCGTTTCCATTTTCAAGGGACACTTTTTCGGAAACGTGAAAACGGCCCTGCCGTTTCTGGGTCCCACTAAGCCCACAGCCTCCTCTACATCTTCTGCAACATCCTCCTCCGCCTCGTCCGCCTCCAGTCCTCCTCCACCGCAGACTCACCATTCCGACCGTGATCCTCATCCTCATCCTTCTCGTCCTCATCCCCCTCATCCTCCCCCTCCCTCCACCTTCTACCGTCCTCCTTCCTCCTCAACCTTCCGCCTCCTCTTCTATCCTCCTTCGGCATCCTCATCTTTTTTTCCTTCCTCCTCCTCCTCCTCGTCCTCCTCCTCGTCCTCCTCCTGTCCCTCCTCCTCCTCCTCCTTCTCCTCCTCCTCCTCCTCTTCTTATTACCCCCACCGCGCTCGACATTGTTGCCCACCAGAAGCGCTGGTCGCCAGAACAAATGGGGGAGGAGTGAGGGAAGAGCAGTGGAAGTCCAAAACGCACCAACGATGTTGCAATAAACGCGCCCTCTGGGTTCCCTCTTCATGGGTCTTCGTTATGTCTTCACTGCGGCGAGCCGTCCATTAGAAGACAGCTGTTCGAGACCCCTCGATCGTGCCAAAACACAATCCCTGTGGCTTCGACGCCGCAGATCAATGTGACTGTTGCCCCCTGACAGTCCTAAATCGCGCCAGAACACCATTTCTGGGACGCGAAAAGCCGCGCATCAAAGTCACTGTTATGTCCTGAGAATCCTCGATCGTGCGAGAACACAGGTCCCAGGAATTGGACCATACACATCGGTTCCAGACTTCTAAAAGAATATGCGCGGCGCAAAGGCGAGATCCACATATAAACAACGGCCCACCCTCCATCCGCGAAGCTGCTGCAAACTCTCAATGCCAGAGTGCGCGGCACCAGGGCGAAAGCCTCAATTTGAAAACGACCAGCCCTCCATCTTTGGGACTACTGCAATCGATAAAGACGAGTGTGCACGGCGCTAAAGCGAAAGCCAAACTTTGCAAACCGCCCGCCCGCCACCCGCGAAACTGCCGCACACGTTCAAAACGAATGCGCGCGGCGCTGAAGCGAAAACTTCACTTTTCAAATCACCATGATGGGCGTGATTCCCACCACCACCACCATCACTTGGACGGGGGGGTTATCCTCCTCCTCGTCCTCCTCCTCCTCCTCCTCGTCCTCCTCCTCCTCCTCCTCCTCGTCCTCCTCCTCGTCCTCCTCCTCCTCCACCTCCTCCTCCTCCTTCCCCCCTCCAACTCATGGTGGTGGTGGTGGAAGACAAGCTCATCACACCAGCCCTCAATCCGTGAGACTGCTGCAAACTGTGACGACGAATCTGCGCGGCACGAAAACGGCACACCATAACTTGAACAGCACGCAACCACCCTCCGCCCTTTACCCGCGCAGCTGCTGCAAGTTTCGAACACTAGGATTAGGAGTGGCGAAGAAGTCTCACGCGAAACACCTGGCCCGCCCTACTAACACATCTGGGCGTGCGACAGCGAGGGGGTACTTATATAAGGAACAGGGACTGATGGGAGAGAAAGAACGGAGAGACGGCGAGGAAAAGGGAGGGATGAGGAGGGGTGAGGAAGGGTGAAGAAGGAGAGGAAAGAGCTTCCATCAATTCCTGCTCCTTGAATTTAACTCCTCACTGTCGCACACCGGAGCCGATCAGAAGGGCGGACCGGGCGTTTCGCCCCAGGCTTCCATACTTCTGATCGCGAAGCTTAGGAATCGGCAGCGTCTTCACATGTGCAATGCGTGTCGTTTCCAAAGTGTAGCTCTCGCCGTACCGTAGCGCCTCGCACATTCGCGACAAACTACAAAAACGTCGCTGATTGAGAGCGGGCGGTTTTTTTAATGTGGCTCTCGCCTCTCGCGCCGCGCGCATCCGTCTTAAACATGTGAAAGAGATGTACGGACTGAAGACGGGCAGTTTTCAAAATGTGGTTATCGCCAGATGCAAGAACTTCACGGATTGAGAGCGGCATTCTTCCAAAATGTGGCCCTCGCCCCAGCGCCGCACGCACTGACTTAAACATTTGCAAACATTTAGTGGATTCCTACGGTCAAGGATTGTCAAGGCACAACATTTACAAGGATCCGCTCCATTGAGGACCCAAGAATGGCGTTGTGGCGCGATCCAGGATCACCAGCACGCTCATTCAGGTTGATTCGTGGCGTTCGAATCCCGGGAAGGGTGTTTGGCACTCTTCAGGATCTTCAAACGGCGATCCCTCAACGGGGTACTTCCTTCAGTAGAAACTAATTTTTGAAGGGAACTATGAAGAGGGAGCCTGGAGGGAGCGTTTATTACAACATCGTTGATGATGCATTGGGTTTACATTGGTCCTCCCCCTCTTTTTCCCCGCCCTCTCCTCCCCGCCCCGAGTTCCTGGGGGGGAGCCCAGTCGCGGCGGCGAGAAACCACTCTGAAAGCCAAGGGGGGACGAACAGCGCACAGAAACCTCGACGCTCCAAACTCGACCTTGGGCCCTCAAGTGGCGGCCCTCCTCCTGCAAGGGGCTCCTGCCAAGGGGCCCAGACCTCCGACGCTGCATTTCCTCGAAGCATGAGCCCCTGGAAACCCCGAGGCCCGGCGAAAGCCCTCTGAAACCGAAGTAGGTGCAGAAACGCTCCGTCGCGATTCCTTGGCGACGCGCACAATGGGGTAGATGGAGGGGGGGAGCCTTCTCAGAAGGAGGCTGCTTGTTAGACGGCGCTGGCCCTACATCGATAGATAAGGCCTGCGATTGTTAAGGGACAGGGTTGTTTCAAACAGGCCCCCCCGTCCCCCATGCCCCCTCCTGCGCGTGGCCAAGGTGACTCTTCCCGCCCTCGAACGAGCCTGGAGCTGGACGGCGAACAAAAGCCGTCGCATCTCCACGCCGTCCGTGCGCCCCTGCCGCCCTTCCCTCTTCGACTTGCTGTGCCAGATCATCCCGCCATCCTCCCCCTCCTCCTCCTCCTCATCACCATCCGCCTCGTTCGCGTCCCCCCCCCCCACACTTCCTGAATTTCCTTCTCCTGTTCCTCCTCCCCCTGATCGTCCTTCCCCCCTCTTCCTCCGCTTTTTGCTCCTGCCCCTCACCCCATTCTTCCTCCTCCTCCTCCTACTCCTCCTCCTCCAACTCCTCCTCCTCCCCTTCCTCCTCCCCCTCATTATCCCCCCCCTCCTCCTCCTCCTCCTCTTCCCCCTCCTCCTCCTCCTCCTCCCCCTTCTCCTCCTCCTCCTCCTCCTCCTCATCATCATCATCATCATCACCATCATCATCATCATCAGCATCATCATCATCATCATCATCATCATCATCATCATCATCCTGCTCTTGCTCCCCCTTTCCGTCCCTCCGCCCCTCCCTCCCTTCCTCCCGCCCACTGCTCCTATCCCTCCTCCTCCCCAGCGTCGTAATCTTATGCTACTTGTTCGGCGTAGTGGTAGTCTGGCAGTCTGGTAGTAGTAGTAGTAGTAGCAGCAACAGCAGCAGCAGCAGCAGTACTA